TAACAAGGATGTCTTCAGCCTATGAGTTACTTCATTCAGTTGTTCATTTAGGACAGTTTTGTTAGGCACACAAGGCTGTGTGACTAGGCCATACCCACCATGCCCACTCAGGTAATGACATAGGACATCAAGCCCAGGACAGACAACTGCAAAGGAACAGTCAGGCACCTCCTGATTATTCCTTTTCAGATGTGGCTTGCATTCAGCATTTAGCACCAATACAGGCCATACTGCTTGTAACAGACATCAGATCTGCTATGGAAGTTGGATTGGAAGGCTTAGCTACTTTTGGATCTGACTCTCTGCCTGAAAGTGGTCTCCCACCTCTCTTATAGACTGGACAGGACACAAGGGAGACAATTCCATACGGACAGTAAAGAACATTCTGCTCTTGGATCTTAGAAGGTTAAATCACTTGAAGCATGCCTTGTACTTACATTTGCTCCTGTTATTTACATTTGAAGCCACTTGTACATTATAAACTCTCTAGGCAGCTACTATTGTATAGAATGGCTAATATGTTTTCAGAAAGTTCTTCTCACATATGTTTATTTAAATATATATTTGAACTCCAATCATTCATCCCAGTTTTTAGAGAGTAGCAACATGTTTGTAAAGAAAATATTTTCCAGAATAAAGTGTGCGTGTGAATTCTGTATCATTAATAAACCAAAAGAGGTTCAATGAAAGAAAGTTAGAATGCCCTTGCTGTTGTATGATACGCATGTACAAATGTTTGGGTCTTCAGTACAAAATCCCAAACAACTGGCATTTCAATCACTTAGCATCAGCTACAGACTGACTTCTACGCTACAGATTAAGGTAAAATTGAGTGTACTATGAGAAAATGTCATACCTCAGGGGGGGAAAGGAAGCTGAACTCTCACCAAAACATTGTTATAAAGAGGAGGAGGAATTTAATTACAAGAGCTTGTTGCTTATGAGCTCTGGCAGTCTGAAAATTGCGCAGCCCTCTATCAGTAACCTTTTGAGCTTATGTCTTTAGCAATACATGGGAAAGCCACTTGTATTTTGAAAAGGTAACATTTTCTTTGAGTGCATTTGAGGGCACAGAAGAATTAGAGTCCAGAGCAATAGTCTTGCTCATTGTTACTTCCAGCAACTGTGATGCCAACTTTCTCCAATCAGATGCAATAGAGAAGGATGACACCACTCTATATACAAGTAACCCAAGAATCAAAAGGAAATGGGAGTGCCTTAATAGTGTGCTGCACTAAATCCCTATCACCTTTTTATTCTGTGAGTTACTTCTGCCCAAAGGCACCACCAAAAACACATGAACTCCATTTTATTACAAAAATTACTATTAAAACTTACAGAAGGTAACCAAGAAACAGGCCTCAGAGGCATCATATGACTAAGAACTCTGAGAATTAGATTGCTCAAGATCTGGACCAAGTTACCTGAGAAACCACCTTCCCCTTTATAGACCTTAGATCACCTAGGGAAATTGTGCTTTTGGTACCACACCCTACAGAATTCCCATGTTGAAAGAAGACATGGACAAACAGTTTGCAAGGGTGGAGCCCATACACTTTGCTTTGCATGTTATTGCAATGTGATGAGGAGTGCCAGCGCTTTTGGAGTTTTTCAGAGACCCATTCAGTGCAAAGCCATCTATACAAATGGTGTGAATATAGATTGTTGAACATGCCCCCTCCTCCAATTGTACAGTAATTTGGGGAGATGTAACTTTCTGTCATCTCCTGGATGTGTGACCAAGCAGTCTGCAGAGTTTGTGAATAGTTCCTGCTGCATAGCCAACTGGTTCTTTAGCAACAACAAAATAAGGGGTCACTTCAGGATGTTCAGTTCAAGATCTGGCCTGAACTCAGGTATGGGATGGTGACAGAGAAGAAAGGTGGTATCCAAAACAAAGCAAGTCTAATAACATCTCATTCTAAATCCAGGAGGCTTTGCACATTGTCTTGAAATATAACAGTCCAGATTGTCAGTGACATTTTCACATTCCATTATAACAGCATAAGAGGGTGGTGCTGGGGGAACCCTGAAGGAACAGTTCAGAAATTGGCAAGTATGACTCCATGTCACTAAATTCAAGCTGCATTAAGTGCAGATACTGGCCTCATTAATTTCAAAGGGACTTAATGTGTTTTTAATCTTCTCTAGAGTGTGGCTTTTGACTTCTGTTTGCTTTTATTAGCAACTTTAGTTGTGAAAATGCCTGGCCCCTTTTAAATCAGGAACCATCACAGAAGGAATTTTGTAAATGGAAGGTACATGTTCTCAATTTGCCATCGAGGGGAGACCTGAAAAAGAAACAGTATGACTGCTGATTAATTTTTCATATGATCCTGGATGCTATACAGAATAGAAAATAGGATTTAAAAACACACTGGCATGGATCCAGAGATGTTTTGCAGGAGCGGAAAGGCTCTTTGCTTGCACAAGGCAGCCCTGCTGACTTTCCTGAGCCTACTGCAACCCTTTCATGCCCCATCATACACCATTCCAGAGGGTCCCTTGGCAATATGTGAGTAGCCACCCTACTCAATGGTAGAGCCAATACCAGCTGGTGAGGCTGTGTGGGTGCAGCTACATTGCCTTCCTGACTTCCCAATGGTGCACATTGCTGCTACTTACCAAGAGGGGGAAGGGCAAGGAAGTGGGCAGCTTGGTGTGGTGTGGCTGCAACCATGGAGCCAATCCAGTGCTTCCACCTGCTGTGCCCACATCATGCAGAGCTCCCCCACTGCCTTGTCCTTCCTCCTTTTCTTCTTGTTAACTGGTAGCATTGTGCAGCATTGAGAAGCTGGGTCTTCAGCGCAGCCCCATTCACACCACCTCGCTGGCCGCTACTGCAAAACACCTTTGGCAAGGTATCTCCACAATAAATTTATTGTAGTTCATCAAAATCTGTAACCCTGATTCTTTCTATTTAAGGTCAGACAATGCAACTTTGAATAGTGAATGCTTCATAATTCACGTTGCTTTATTTTTTTTATACTTTTGCGAAGGATACATTCTTGCTAATCTCCGCTTCAGCCAATGACTGAAAATTCAACAATTAGGCTAATTTATTTAAGTGCAGTAATTACTATAAAGAGATTCACTTTGAAGTGATTAAAGCAGCAGTCTGACACCTCCTTTCTAAACTTAATGAATCATGAAAATAAATCAAATGGGTTTTAAGTAAAAATGCCCATGCGTTATCTGCTCCCAAATTTAATGGAGTGACCATAAAAATCTCTATCTTATTATGAACCAATGCTCATTGGGTACACGAGTGGCTTCATCAAGAGTGTTACTGTGTGTCTTTGTCTACATGTGCATGTGCATGCACAGGTATTCATGTATAATACATGTATTTTCAGGTCTTGAGCTCAGAGTTGCAGCATGCCACAGAACCAAGGAAACTTATAATAGCACTAGTTATCAGGGAATTAGCAAGCAGATAAGAGACAAGAATTAGAATAAAAGAATTAACAAGTTTATTGCAAAAACAGAAAGAGAGAGTGATTGATATGTATGGTTTTAAGAAATAAAAGAATGCAATCAGCTGGTACTGGCAACTTTTACTGCAATGCACCCTGTATGGATTACTTCACTGAGGTGTCTCTTGTTCTTGGTCTAGGAACTGCAACTAGTGCATTATGCTGCAGCACAATTGCTGACAGGCATGAGACCCTGTCAGCATATTACACCTCTGCTCCATTTGCCTGCACCGGCTGCCAATTTGTTACCAGGCCTGATTTAAAGTGTTGCCATCCGTATATAAAGCCCTTAGGAAGAAACCTAGGAAGCTACCTTATACCTTAAATCTAATAGTTGATTGTTGATCCTTTGGCTGTTAAACCTTTGGCAGTTTCAGCCAGTTTTAATCACGGATGGCTTTGATTTGTTGGTAGTGATTGATTGCTGTCATGTTGTTGTTGTTTTACTTTAAATATATTGCATGCTCCTTTCAATTACATTTGGGAAAAAGCAGAATATAAATAAATATATAAAATAATAATATTTCAAATAATAAATGCAAAAAACATCAGCGCAAGTGGCTAGCCGCAACACCAAGATCATATGTGTGTGCGTGCGTGTGTGTGCGTATATATATATATATATACACACACACACACACACACACACACACACACATGTATATATCCCCACCCACATATAGCAGCCTCAAATTGTACAAAAGAGAAATATTAGCTCACATTACTTTTAGAAATGAGTTTCCACACTTATCATTATGCCTGCACCCTGGGATATACATATATGCATGATTTGAAAGTGTTAGTGATCACTTCATTCTACCACTCTTGCAAGTTTCACGTAGTAATCTTATTACTGCAGTGGAGGGAGAGACTGGCAATCATTCTGCTGACTTGACTAAAACTGTCACTTGCATTAATCCTCAGTTTGAACGTGCACTAAAAACAGAACAGCGACAGCTGAATTTTTTCTTTTAAAAGCCCTTTCCATCTAAATTTAGAAACGCCTGTGTCGAGTCTCACAGGGATCATTACACATACTGCCAGGGTGTCCATAAATAACCACGACAGCTCCCCTGGTAACAACACATAACACACGCTCTGGATTGCTGGGAATTCAGTGCTCCCTGTGCAGCTGGGATCCTCTCAGCTGTCGAGGCTTAATTTTTAAAGGCAATTTCACCTCACTGGCCTAGATAAAATTATAAAAAGAGCTGTGAAATGTTTTAGCTGTGGAGGTTTTTTAGCTGTTGCTATGTGTCCTTTTTATTATATCAGGAAGATGGCAGCTAAATTCTTCCACTGAAACAAAATAATGCGAAATCTGGGCATCAATCAAAGGGAGTATTTGTGGGCACAGAGGACGTGTGCCAATGGGCAGCTGCTCTTTGTCAGCCTATGGTCAACTTTTGTTCCTATGGAGATTTAATAGAGGCATGGATTTTTATAGTGCAAAGTGACATTATCTTTCTCCCCTCTCTCTTTCTATCTCTCCCCCCTCCCCCCCTTCTTCCCTCTGTTCTTTAGGTGGGAGAGTTCAGAGCTCATGCAGCTGAATGGACAGCCAATGTCACGGCAGAGTTCAAAGAAACACGTAGACGCCTGAGTGTGGAGATTTACGACAAGTTCCAGCGGGCTACCTCCATCAAAAGGAAGCTCTCTGCAGAAATGGCAGTGAACCACAGCCAAGACCTGACTCCTTGCAAGAGAACCTTGTCTGTCAACCACCTCACCAGCGAGAAAGACCTCTTGCCTGCCATCACAAAGACGGACAGCATTTATATGAATGGCTTGACTCCTCACTGTGCAGCAGAAGAGATTGCTGTCATTGAAAACATTAAGTAGCACTGACTTTGAATCCTGATCTTTTAATAAGAAGAAGCCTACGGTTTAGACTTTACCTTGTAGTTCCTGATATTTTTCCCCCTTGTCCATAACTGATGCTAATAGCATTATTTTTATCATGTGCATGAATTCCAACAGAAATCCACCCACAATAAGGATTCAGAGTCACCATCGTATCTCTTGAAAGACACAAAATGAATGGCACTTCTGTCATTGACAAATGCTGGAACAAGCAATGTTTGATGCCTTTTTTGTGCCCAGACTGTTTCTTCATCTCTCCTAATGTGCCATAAGGCGTTAAGAATGAATACTGCTGGTTTAGGTTAACAATGTAGCTTTGAGGGATCAGTCCTTAAACTTTTCAGGGTCTACCTTACCAAGCCTAGGAACGGACCATGTACGGACTACAATCTATATGTAAATGGCAAGAAAATCTTATGCAGCCTTTTACCTAAGAAATTTTTGTCAGTGCCTTATCTTTTAAAGAAACAGAACCTCTATAACTCTCATAATGGTTTTTTGTTTGTTCGTTTGTTGGTTGGTTCTTGCATGAGTAACATTATCTCATTTTGATATTTCATCTAGACCATAACAATCATGTTTTAAGGGTGTCTAAAGCTGAGGATACCAGCATTAAGAAACTGATGCCAAATCCAAAAACATCAAAGCACCACCGCTTCTAAGTCTAGCTTTAAAGGCACTGCAATTAGCAGGGTTGCAAAAGGTGTCTCCCTGCAAGTAGGTTTCTTTTCTTTTTTTATTACTCAGGTGCAGAGTATGTACACTCAACAGACCTGTAGAATTCATGGATCCATTTCAGGTCTCGTTACTTAAGCCGTAGTTGGCAGTTCAGTCCCATGCATCATATACCAAAAATCTTCAGTTTTGTATTGTTAACCGATTTGATAGGTAAGATTAACTTGGTGCAATCAAAAGACTCATTTTACACAGAATCAACATTGAAACAATCCTGAATTATCAGCATTTCTATTAAACACCATGCTGCTGGCAGATAAGGATTTGAAATTTTCATTGTTTTAGCCACGTCATGCCATACGCTATTTTAGCACAGGGATCCTGCCTGCTGATTGCTTTCCTGAATGTTACATCGTACGCTTTTGCCCATTCTGGAGCTGGGATTAAAAGTGGGAATGCAGCTGAAACTGGCATCACTGTGACTTTCTACATCGAGAATATAGACGGTATCTGAACACAAATGCAGGCGTGAAAAACAGTTGACCAATAGCACAATCTGAATATAATTGAATATTTGGGTAGAATAGGCTGATACACAGATCTGAAACCAATCCTTGGGATTTCTTTAATTGTTTTAAAGAGGGGAAAAAAACATTAATTTTATAGCCTCTTGTGTCTTTTGTTTCTAAGTGTGTGCAAGATTCAGAAGGAATGCAGGATTTTTAAATAACGGAATGGATTGTCTTTTATTTTCCTTCACCGTTTTATTCTATTTCATCCTGGCTGTATATAAAACAAATATAATACCCCTTAAGAGATTAATAGGCAGCCTGATCCTCAGAGCATAACTATGATGCAAACTTCGTTGAAATCAGAGGCTTGCATCTGTAGAGCTGTTTGAGGCCTGCATCCTTGGCTCTGATTATCTAAAGCCAAATGGGACTTCAATTGGACACAATTCAAGTAACAAATCCATTCTGTCCTATTATTGAATAGCATTATGAACTATGGAATGTTAAATGTACGGATGCTTCATCTTCTTTTCTGACAAATCTAAGTTATCAATGTAAATAGCAATCAATGAAGAGTTACTGAGAGTGTACATCTCAAATCAGCAAAGTTCCATTAACTATGACCAGGCCAGGCTCATAAAAGGAAAGGCCCCTCCCCACGATTTCTCCCAGCACAGTGTTCTGAATGTTGACATGGTAAGAAAGGTTCTCTTGCCATGCATAAACTGTGAATTGTAATGAAAATGAAAAATAATAAAGTTTTTAATTAAAACATGCCTTACCGAGTTTCCTGTTTGTCGCCATTAAAACCCTGAGAAATCTGTTGTAAAAGTAGCACAGCGGATTAGGATAGCTTTGCTCCAAGTTACAGCCTTAATTTTAGCAAACAAAACTAATTATTTTGGTAGATATAAAATAATAGGTCCTCTTAAGCAGCAACTTGTTTCTTCTTCAATGGAAAAAATGCGCTTGCTGCTATTGCCTTATGTTTGTCTTAAACACATTGGCTATGATATAGTGAGTCCCCTTCAGCTACGCCAAAGAGATTGGGTGCATACAGTTGCGCTTTATTTTCCTGTTGCTACATATCAGGCCCAGCTTTGAATTGGTTTTGCAAGCTATTTTTCAGACATGGCCAGCATTTAAATAGCAACCTGAAATTCAGGTTAAGATGCTACTTTTTTTGCGAGTCAGTTGCATTTGCAAATAATCTGTTCACACTTCTTTCAACTGGGGTTCTGATGTGAAAATTGGTCCTTAGAAATTAATGGAAATGGCTGCCAAGTAACATCTTAAGTTTTTAGCTGTTAGATTGTTTTGGATTAAGTCCATTTTGAAGTCCATGGGCACTCAAATCCGCATGTGGATCTTTTACAGAAAGTAATGGGAAAGTAGGGTGAGGATAGGGCCTAGCTAAATGGGAGAGCATTTGCATTGCCTCCAGATGTTTCCAGGCTTGGTCCCTGGCATTTCTAAAATCCTGGAGAACTGGCAGTGAACGTACATAATACTGAGCTATATAGACCTGACTCAGTATAAGCTAGCTTCCTGTGTTCCTGTTCTACGCTGCGGGGAACTGTGCATACTTTTGAACACACTTCATACTCAAAACTGGACACTGGGTTCTTGCAAAGGTGATAAAACTGTGCCTGGGCTGTACCACTTGCACAATGAAATAAATCTCCATACAACAACTTCCATGGACACAGAACAATACCAAGTCAAGGAACCCTTTCTATGCACATGGTAGTTTTTTAATGGAGCATCAGTCCAAAGGCCAGTCTCTTGTCATATTTGGAGCAGGGTGAGTGTGAGAAAATCAGCGATATGCAATAAACAGCAGGATTTTCAGGACATGGGACAGCACTTAGAGCAGATTAGCTTAACCCTCACATGCAATATAGGTATCATAATTCCAGTTTACACAACAGGATTGGTATAATGATGTCATTGTTAGTTGGCTTTCAGGTTGTATAAATTTACAAATTACATTCTCTCTGTTTAAGTATCAAGAGCAATATACCGACCAAATGTGTGCTGCGTTGCTTCTGGCTGGGCTGGGCTGCTGAGGACAACTATTTTCCGAGGCAGGAATGGTTGATGTTCCATGACAAATAATCAGGGGCAAGATTCTCAGGTGTTACTGAAAGGAAGATCAAAGTCTGTGGTTGCAGATTAGCCTTTCCCGTCATGAATAACAATTTGAGCTGGCTTCCTCCTGATTTCCTAGCAGCTCCTACTCTTTGGGAAGTTATGACACCCTTAATCCTGTTCCAAGGCCTGAGCCATGACAGCTCCTTTAGCCAAATAGCTCTGGATACATCCGAAACACGCAAATAACCAGAGCTATGAATATAACTTCACACAGCACTCAAATTACTGGGGAATACAGGGAGGCACAAAAAATCAGCATAAAATGGTCCCCATCCCTCTGCAACCAGTTTTCTCAATCTCTCCCTCTTTTCCCCTTGTTTGGGTCTCTGTGCACATAGGTTCCACTTTATTGAAGCTCTCACTTTCAGACACAAAGATTGTTGGGGATACCATGCACATGAATGATTCTCTGGACATGACAACTGTGCTGCTTCCTTCTCACCCTTGGCAGAACAGCCTGGTCAGATGTGAAGAAAGCAGCTGTATACGGTCAGCTGTATACAGTACCAACAGTGGAGGGAGGTTTATTGTAAGCCAGTGCAAAATCTGTGTATTGGTGGGTGCCTTTGCTGTCACACTATAGTGATGACTGAGCGTATTCTTCTTTTGCGGTAGCCAGAAGTAAAACACCCAATGATCAGTTTATAAAGGGTTTATTTTGTTCCCTAGAAGGGTGATTTTTGGAATTCATAAATGCTAAGCCATCATCCCACTGACATATTCGGTGCTTCCAGGAAATGCCTACGCTCATATTGTTAATGCAATGTGTTGCTACCCTACCCTAAACTGTAAATAAATTTACTAGACAAGTGGTTCTTGGAATATGAAACAGTAAACCTTATCAAGACAGACAGCAGCCTCAACAGCAACAACAACCCACTGAGTGTAAAAAACCCAATAGTAATAAAAGCAAGTCAGATGAGTTGCTGCCACACATACTCCTCTTCAAACCCAGATCAAGTAAACTAAATAGACAAAGCATGAAGAGAGGAGTCCCCAGCAACCTTTCAGATGGGTTCATATATACCATATTTTCCATGTATAAGACTAGGTTTTTTCACCAAAAAAATAGGTTTGAAATTGGGGCTTGTCTTATACATGGGTGGTGCTAAGGGATGTTTTCTTAATTTGGAGTCCACAAAAATAGGGGGCGCCTTATACATGGGGGCGTCTTATACACGGAAAAATATGGTAATCAGTTTCCTGTTTGCCCTTTCGCCAAGCAAGAATCCCCTCCAGATGACCAGGTAGGAAAGCTTTACAAAAGGTCCTTGGCTTTGTTTTGTTATTAAGCTATAAATGACTGTCATGGATATTGGTGGTGTGCATTGGCTGTCTGGGAAGAAGGCTGAATAACTAGACAAATGGGGGTGATTGGGATGTCTCCCCCCCCCCCCCAATACTGATTCAAAACCTGTTGTCAATATCTCCTCAAGTCAGCTGAGGCCCCACAAAGCCTTCTGTTCCTTTAGTATTTCTGAACTCTTCTATGTTCTCTATGTTTGATCTTTCCATCATCCTTGGCTATTGGACATGCTTGCTGGGGCTAATGGAAGTTGTAGTTCACCAACATCTGGAGGACGAAAGGTTCCCCACACCTGTTCACTGGATTTTCAAGACGTGAGGTGTCCAAAATGTTGACTAAAGAGCTCCAAATTGTGTGTTTTAAATGAATGAATGAATGAATGCAGCTGAGATTTTTTTAAAAAAATAAAAAGTTAGACATTTAATTTAAGACGTGCTCTTTTAAATCCTGCATTGCTCAGCTTTAACACATACGCACACTCACCATCTAGAGCTGTTCAAAACTCCACAGGTATCATTCTGTACAGTCTCATGCCATAGGCCTATTGGAGGCCAGTAAGGCCTAACGCCTGAAAGGCTGCTGTGAAGGTTTTTAAAATGTGCAAGCAAGCATACACACCACTCAGCCACCTCTTAGCTATTTTACATTAGCTAAGAAAGACACAAACCCCTGCTCTCCCTCTCAAGAAAAGGAAACTAATGTGAATTATGGAAGAACCTGAATTCATTTTACTTCCCCCACAAAAGGCCACTGGACCTATTTGTCTGCAATTTGGCAGCCTTAATCCACTCTGGAGGGGCTCGTTCACTTTGGCTAAAAGAGGAAAATTTTAAAAGGGGGGGGGTCCCCGTTATAATTTTGTTAAATTTTATTTTGTTAAATAAGAAAAATAATGAATGAGGAGCACAGAGTTCTGTTTTGTACAGAGCAGTTTAGAACCCCAAACACAGACTGAAGCAAAGAGAGTATGGAGTGGCTCAGATCATAATTTAAAAAAACAAATTGATACAAGGCGAACCTTGCGGGGAGGACCTGTGCACAACCCTAATAGATATGCCTATGAAAGCAGGTAATTAACAAACATACAGTATATTGTGGGCGAGTAATTGTTGCAAAGCTACTTCACTCTGTAGGTGAAGCCCTAGAAAATCAAGATAACTATGAAAAATAACTTGCCCTGGTTAGAAGAGATTGTAATGGTACTTTACAATCTGGCTGGTACTTTACCTCTGACCCAAACAAGGTGCACACTGGCAAGAGAATCTTGTGCTTTCCTATCGATTGTTCACACTTGCCTAAGAAATAATTCATCGTTGGCAGACAGCCATTTCACGTCACTGAAATTTATAATTGCCTGGTTTGTTGTATGAACTTATCCAGTTCGTAATGCTTGACTGCAGCATCATTTTTTAGGAAAAGTTTTCCAGATTAGATGAATGAGATTCTGAGCATCCACAGTCACTGTGTTCAGCAGACCAGGCATTTGAAAAAAAAGAGCGGCTTTGCATCTGCACGTACCTACAAGTGTTAACTTTTTTGATTCTAGAGCAACTCTCACTGAAATTATCACTTACTCTTGTAGTAGCTCCCACTGACTGCTGCTCCAAATTATGTTAGAACCCTTGACCAAACAGCCTTTTGACTGGTAAGTATGTTCTCTTTCTAGGTCAATGTTTTATCTTGATCATACCTTGCAAATGGGTAATGTGGTTGTTGTACCCTTGTTTTATGTTTTATGCAGGGCTTTCCCCCCCAGCTGGAACTTGCCAGTGGGCGCCATTGCCATTCTAAGAGAACGAGGGAGTTGTTCATGGTGAGTTCCAGCACCTCCTTTTCTAGAAAAACAGAACTGGTTTTATGAGATTTTTCTCAACCCTATGTTGAGAAACCCTATGATGCTAAGATATGTTTGGTTGGAGGGAGTGGTTGAATTCCCACGTGGGTCTCCAACATTCCTGGTACTATGGGACAGATGCAGGAAAGGTGAAACCGATCTCCAAGTCCACTGGCACAATGTAATAATATATGTGTA